GTCACAGCTCCTGTGGACAATGGTGAAGTAGTGCGTATTATGGATGGTAAAAATTATTTAATTTAACTTCTTTTCATGTCAAATGAAAATGAAATAAATGCTTTAACTTTTGATATTTTAACAAAAATATAGCATTTATCTATTATATATTGTTAACTGAAATAAGCTATGGTACACATAAAAAAAGCAAGAAATGGAGATGATCCCAAACCTTCTTTCATCTGAAATTTTAAAATGTCATATATCTTCTTTATAGATGATGCACGTATAGTACGTTCCAAGCCACGTGCTTCTAACGCAACGAAAAAGAACCGAATCCACAGCAATAGCTCAAATAATACTGGTTTGTCTTTTCACTTTCAATTTTATTACTATTACATTGAAGATATTATTTATATGTACATGTAATATTACGTGTGACAAATTGAAATATGCAGGACACGTGTATTTAATTGAACAATGAAAGAATTAGGTTGAAAGCGTACGTACAAGACTAACCGTTAGTGATGATTAGATAGCAATTGGTTATTTCCGTATTGCAAAGTGTGAAAATGATTGAATAGTCTAGGTAATAATAATAATAATAGATAAGAATAGCAATTTTGCACATTTCTTGATGGCCATTTTTTGGTAAATGTTTAGGTGCTCCGCTAGTTAGCAACGTTGAGGATGCTCCACCGAATGTCGTCATCGATCAACCGAACCGTTCTCACGTGCAACAACCGTATATGGCTCATAGCTGTCGTCCGAATATGACACATCCAGTAGTGATCGGCAGTGTGAACCGTCCTATGTGTACAAAGAATTTCCTATTATTCGATGAGTTGATGAAAAAATAAATTTCATAAAATTGTCAACTTTCAGATATGCCAGTGCATAATCCGCCACCTTCAACATGTTGGTGCAACGGAATTTCTGACGATATACGAGCGATTAAGGAGACACTAAATTCGGTTTCCAATGGGATTCACTTAATTCTTCAAAAAGTTCATATGGATCAAATGAACAATGCACAAATGATGTCGCAAATTTTGCGAACCGTTGAAATGGTTGCGGACACTGTTAATAATATGTCATTTGTGCAGTTTCAAGGTTCAATTTTGAGCCCAGAAAGGACTTTTTCTTTCTTCTGAATAAATAAAAGAAAAAGTGAACGAAATTAGGTTTAAAATTAATTGAATGAACAAATATTCATAGCTGATGAAGCGTCAATGATTTTCACTTTGATTTGCTTACTTTCAAAATCACACTGCTCCGTCGCTTTTTCATCAGATTTAGCATCCTAGATTATTGCATCTTAGTTTCACTTCTTCCAATTTTCATTCACGAATGTATCGTTCCTATTTTCATGAATTAATCCTCCTCAATCTTCTCTATTGTTTAAGCAAATGATAATTCCTCAAACTGATTTTTTTGTTATTGAAAACCAATCAATTTTAGCATACGATCAGTATTATGATGGATCTGGCGTCGGAAATCCTACCGGAAGTCCGGATGGAACGGTTCCTCCAGAGACGTGCTATGAGCAAACTGATGAGCAGAACACACCGATTGAGCATGTAATGAATAACAGTTCACGTTCCTATCCTTGAATAGCAGGACATTTCAGTGTAAAAGTGATATATTAACAATTTCTGTTTTCTTTTCTTTTTTTTTGTTTGCTAACCTGATGTTCAATTTTTGTGTTCTCTAATAAATTTTTTTTCTTTTTAACAAAATTGGAATTGTATTTTTACAAGATGGCAAGTCCGTATATCTCACATTTCTCTCCAGTAATCAGTTTCATCATTACAAATGCCTTAAAAGTCGAATCAAAACACTCTTAACATCCGGAATTATACTAAATGCTGCTTATGGAACATAATGAAAAACCGATGCTAAGTCAACATTTAGAGGTGCAGTATTTCAAAATACAATTGTAGTTACTACCAGCTAATTTCACATTTTATATTCTCTCTAAATTTTGACAATCAAGATATGAAAACGGAAAAAAGATCGTTGCTTAGGGGGTCAATGTTCAACATTTACAACAATACAAGTATATAACATACATAGAACGATAGGAAATCATCGTTATGAATTAATTACATAGATTGGAATGATTCTAAAATATTTTTATCCCTCATATAATATATACAGCAAACATATCAAAAAACTATCACCTGACATCCCTTCCAAGAGAATTTTGAAATGTGATGAAAGACTGACTCTATTCGATGATGTCACATCCATCATCAAGGAAAAAACTGGAGATAAAGAAACTCAAAAGTTTCACTTGATGAAAAATAAAAGCAAATTATTACACTGAAGATTAATTTAAGTAAATATGCTGCATAAAATAGATAAGGTCGGTAAATTTGTTATTCCTACAATGTCATCCAATTCTAGAACAGTAAAAGCAACCATTTTTACTGTCAACAGATAAATTAGAACGAGTCGATAGTGGTGACAATTTTGTATATTCACATTGAAGAAAATTATTCTGAATTTAGAGCTAGAAAGTTTTGAGTTAACGTTTGAATAACATTAAAGTGATGTAAATTGAGGATTATTACACTTCACATTACCTTACTTTCACCACAAAGCTTGGTATTATTCTATTTGTTATATCATAATTTGAAATATAAACTAATGCTTAATCACTGTTTTTTATAAAGAAAAGCAAACTATTACAATAAGCAAACTAAAGTGATATTTATAGGTAGTGTAGAAATAAGTTACATGAATGAAATATTGTTTTAAACAGTCGAACATAATTGATGATTTAATTAATACCGGACAAATAATCAGTAATTTAGTGACTACTACAAATAAATTCTTGATGGGTAACAGAGGATTTATTTACTGCCGAACCTCATCATTTCTGCACTAATCATCTTCCAGTTAGTGATAACAGACTGTTTAATAACACTGGACTTAATGGTAACAAACGAATTAACATCGGAGACATAATCTGCTAGTCAGTGAGATGATTTTCTTTGTGCCAGACAAATGACATGTTAATTAATGATTTGTTAATGTGTATTGAATGCCAGATAAATCGTTTGTATACTTGACAATAAAACAAATGATCTCATATCGGACGAATCATGTGTTAGCAAATGGTGGCAGATGATTTACATAGTACTTTATATATTATCTGTGATTCAGTGATAACGGTTCCTTTGTATAATACCGTAAAAATCGTTTGTCAGTGGATGATAACTGGCAGAACGCAGTCAACGTGACAAAATTTTGTGAATTAGATTTCAGTTAAAGCTGAAGAGATTGGAACTATATTTATCTGTTTACATTGAATGTGATTTGGGTTTGTGAAGAGAGAGGACATCTAAACTTCGATAAATCATAAATGAATTCCGCTAAAACAGAGGCATCTTAAAGTGATCGAAGGATTGATTAATGCAAGAAAGAAATAATGAGCTAAAAGGCGCATACATAGATCATCAAATTTACCTTAAGTATGATATGAAATGCTAAGCCATTATCGGAAAAGTAAAATCACATTAAATCAGTTCTATCGTTCACGATCAAATGAAATTTAAATTGACCGAATTATAGAGTATAGTACGCAGGAAGGAATCAATAAATTTATAATAAAAATTGTTGTATAAGAAATTTACACGAACTGAAGTAATCACTTCTGTAAGGTACCGTTTATAAAATATCGTCGTTCAATTTTTAGTTTGAAAATATTTTATTAACAGATTTATTTTGCTTATGCTGAAAATTTCGTGTGAAAAAATTTTGTTAGAGCAGTATGTCAACAATTTAGACATGCAATCGAAATGGGAAAATAAATGAAAAATTGAATGATTCTGAATACAATCATATCTTAATGAATAATACAAAATGTTGTTGCACAAGAAATCTGCACGTGTATTGTTTTTGAAAAATTGAAATTTAGAATTTGTTTGATATTGTTGATGATATTATTATCACGACAATGCAGTAGATAAAACTTCCTGATTGTTTTGTAATCCCATAGACATATTAATTAGCCAACGACAACGAAACGTGAGGATTAGAATGTGGAAAGAATTGCTGAAGAAACTTCATTCAATTGTCTGAAAATAATACATATTACAAGTTTAAATGGAAAGCAGTGTTTATTTGTTTACTATTCACTTAAAAAATTGAAAAATTTGTGTTAATCAAAAAAAAGATTGAGAGAAAAAATCATTCTTTTTTATGCAAAGGATTGCGGTCACAAAGTGTATAATATGGAGAGCAAATATGCTTTCTCAGTAATGATTAATGGAATAATGCATATTAGAAAAGTAAAATAGAAGCAGTGCTGGATAAGTTGTACGGTTAGGGATTGTTTCGCATCAATATCAGTAGCTAATCTGCAAAAATTTTTTAGTCGTCTGACAATTTGTCCTTGTAGTTTGTAGTAGAAGAAAGATCAGTGCGGAAATGAAGTATTTTGCAAAAATAAACCTATCCCAAATACCAATCATTCTTCGAACGTTTTTCCTGTCATCTGGAAATCTGTGACAATTAATAAACATTTTGTTAGCTTCTTTTTCTGTGTATGAACATTGCAACTACAAAATGTATAAATATAGGGAGATCATATTAGAGCAAATGATATCTTTTCTGGGTAATAATCGATAGAACAAGAAGTATGAGCATTCTCTTATAGGTTAAGTAATATATTTATTGTCATATTGTCGTTTGTCTTAGACATAAGAAAACACTTTTTCTCGAGTATTATACAGTAAAGAAGTAATATGCATATTTTTTGCTTTAATTAATGCAAATTTCCATCATTTTTTTTCTTAAGCTACTTTTTTTTTGAATGGGATTAAATCAGAAAGAATGTACGTGTAGTAAGTATTATTGCCAGTAATTGAATTGCAATATAAAATTTTGCGCTATGTGTTTTTTTTTTTTTTGATGAATATTTGGTAAATTTGCTAATTTTACAGAATGAGCGCAATCAGGGAAGGAAACACAAATATTTTGATGTTTTGGACTTCCTGCAAAGGGAGCCTGTAATGCTTCGTGCATTACAGGAGACAGTTGAAGTAAATACTTTACCTTTTTTTTCTTCTTTCCGGTTATCATAAATTGATTGCGGCATGAAGTAAGGATTGTAAAAAGGATTCAAATTTCAGATAAGAGCGTAAAATATATTATTTTCAGTTTGAAACATCGCTCACAACCCGCTTGGAGAAGGCGGAGAGGAGACTAGAGGAGTTCGAAGGGCGAAATGCCCATGAAGAAATGGAAGAGGGACCGGTACCTCAGGAGCGGGAATTTAATGAAGGGGAGGCAGTGTATGCACCTTTGTCTGAAAACGATAATGAGGCAGAGAACTGGCCATCTGGAGCAGAGTCCCCCCTGGAGCAGAGGCCTTTCTGCCTGATGATGATGAAGAAAAGCCAATGGAGATGAGTAGCATTCGTAAGTTCGTCCTGTAAGTTCTAATTTTTAGAGCAAAGTGTGATCAAACTTTTTAACAGTCTGCACTAAATGAAATGGTTAAACATTCATTACACTAAATTTATTCTATTTCAGAAGATCAAGGACGATCAAAATTCCGATTCTTGCCACGCAGAAATTTAGGATTATTTACAGTTTGTTAACTTTGAATTGCATGCTTTTTATGGTTTCATTAACTGTTTTCTTCATTAATCTTATTTATTATTAATGGGTTATGTTTCTAATTATTTGAAGTTTTGATTTTTCCTTTTTTTTTTTAAATTTCATTTTTACTCACTTAACACTTGATGCTTGCTATATGTTAACTCTACTCACCCCAATAACAGTATTTTTCACTTGTTATTAATGAGTTATTATTAATGGATTTAACTGCATGCTTTTTTATTAGTCTCACTTACTATTAATGAATAATATTTTCGATTATTTACACCTTTCTTTGTTAATTTTGTTTTGCATGGGTTTTTGGTTCCTTTTACTTAATGCATGCTTCTCATTAACCTTTCTCACCACAACAACAGTAGCTTGTTGTTGATGTATGCCTCTTTTCTATTTTACTAACTACATACTTTTTTTTGTTAATTTTATTTATTATTAACGGATTATGTTTCTAATTACTTGAAGTTTCGAATTTTTTTATTTCATTTTATTTATGCTTACATTTTTATTCTTACCTACTGCATGCATTCTATTAACTTTACAAATCGAAAGCTGTTTAGTTAACGGAAATCTTACCACACTATTATCACTTGGAACCAGAAGATTTGTTTGACTTCAAGTCCATTTCTTGTAGTCCTTTTCATCATTTGGTAAAAGGTATTTTTACTCATTGTTGTATCAAATACCTATAGATTGTAATGGCTCACAAATGGTACTCATAAGTGACTGGATGCACAAATTACTGTACTGTTTTGAGATATAATTTATTCTTTAAACATTTTAAAAGATTTGACTAATCGGACAACTCTCGTTGTTCTTTTCATTAAGTCAAAGGTCATTCATTCATATAATTGGCACATTCTTGTTGGTTACTCAAGCTTGCAGAGGCTCACACTGCACTATATTACTATCAGTTTGACAGTCACAATTCACTTCTTTAATACAACGGCCGAGAAAAGATTCTTTTAAACTGTGATCTCAAGCAATTTTATGGTGAAAAAGGGCGGATAGTTCTGTGATCGTGTCAAATTAAGTAATTTTTGCTATCCTTTTGACATCTTAATGCACCTAAAATAGTACTTATTCTCGAACTAGCGAATATATTTCAGGTTTTTGAATTACATCCAAGTGATAAGCAATTGATGCTTGCCAAAATTTAACTTTGAATTTACACGTTTATCAATCTAATTAATTAAGTAATTAAACGTTAAAGTATACAGTTAAATTAGTGCGGAAGAAGCCAATTAATTTAAGAAGAGAGTTTTCAGTGTTTTATTATAGTTGTCACAAGCATGCGGAATTAATGAAGCTATTAATAGTTGCTGTATTCATCATTAAGTCACTATGTTTAACTTGCCTGCTAGCAAAATAATCAACTACTAAACCATCAAAATGCACCAATCAATATATTAGCCATTAAAAAATTAAGTTTAGACAATTTCAAAAATCATATTGAAACTCGTTGTATACAAATTAGACAAAAAAAAAAAAGAAAAACATTTTTGTTTAGATCTTACTGTTTTGATGTAATTTTCTTCCTTAAAATGCAACATTTGGCTTTTCGTATTTGTATTGTATTTAATTGACTACCCGGTTCACCATTTCATCCAGTAATATATTTTAAAAAAATTACTTTTGCTTAAAAATTAATAAGTACATAATAACTCAAATTCAAAAATGTAAAAGAATTTATGATTATTCTCTTCTTTGAATTATTAAATTAATCATCATAATTCCACTTTTTTTAATCGATAAATTAAAAAAAAAAAAAAAAAACGGATGACTCCGAACATGCGGATGAATTTAAATGACAAATAATTTTCTTCATCTTTTAGCTTTTTTTTTTTGCAGAAAATTCAATAGAAACCTTTTCAAGTGAATTACATAAGTTGTTCAATGTGAAGGGACTTGAGAATGAAAATTTTTTTCGTTTCAGAAAAAACAATGGTGATTTTGGATTAGCAACTACAACAAATTAGCATTCATGCAGTATTCAGTAAACAGTTGTTGTAGTATCAAACTTAAGATTAATGTAAATGTGGAACAAGACGAGTATCTATACCGATATCAGAAAATCAAAAAAAAAAAAAAAAAATGCACTACAACGCGGGTATTACTAATAAATGGATTTACGATAAGACAAGACACTAATTCATGGTGTATGACTTTCGCTGATTACTGGAGGGTTTAGAGCGGAAATGTTCACGATTGCGTAGCGTTTTGCAACAAACCTGAAGCACTGGTTCAACATTTCCCATTGCCGATGTAGGAGCTTTTTTACTGTCCACTGTTGCAACTTTTTTGTTGGTAGTAATTATTAAAGTAATAAACATTAAAGGATTCTGATGATATCTGAACTATCTCTTTGGTAAAAAACTGAACAGATTAAAGTTCTTTTATATTTCAAACCATAAATGATTTCAAGTAAATTGGTATAAGAAACATGCATCATCATTAGGCAATAATGCTATGGCATTTGTACGATAATTAGACAATTTTGGTTCATCAAAAGATTTCTTAGATTTTTTTTTTTTTCTTGACCATTTCCCCTCTCGATATAGTTGCTAAGATAAGTTATCAATAAACGAAATAAAACTGATGAACCAAAAATTAGAAAATTGTAATCAAAATCACCGTAATCATCATTGAAAAAAAAGAGCATTAATAATAAAATAACATGAAATTAAGTTAAAAAAAAAGCAAAAGAGCACTATTTGAAAGTACATAATCGGCTAATTTCACATAAAGACTGTTTTGACATTTAAGGAAAAATCACAAAAACAAAACTTAAATGCTGTAAAGAGGAACAAAGTAATATTTAATTTTTAATATATATTCTTATCGTTAATTCTTTTTTATTTTGTTAAACTGATTTATTGAAAAAAAAAAAAAAAAAGGCTTTGAAAGTTTTGAGGATTTGTGAGAAAAAAAATGAAGAAATTTAAAAGGAAAAGTAGAAATAAGAAAAAAAACTGCATAAACTGCATTTTTTCATAAAATATGCAATTAAAGTATTTTAGGGAAAATAAAATTTCATATGATAATTAACAGGAATAAAACATTCATTACCAATCAAATTGAAGATTTAATAAAAACTTTTGAAAAAAAAATGTTCCACTGAGAGAACAATGGTAAAATGGAAAAACTCTAAGCTAACTACTGAAGACGACGATAAAAGTTAACTATAAATTATATATATATATATATGTATATATATATATATAATATCATACAAATTTGATTATTCCTTTATCTTTCGGCATACTATCTATCCCAATTTCTTCGTCGAATCTTGCGCTATGTATTCCTAAAAATATCCGATTAATTAAATATTTCAGTTGAAAGAAAAATCATGAAGTCATTTTGCTTATTGTGCTTTTTAGAATCGAACGATAGCAAATGAGACTAGTGAATCGGAAAAAATAAACAAATTTTTGAATATTTAATGCAGTAGGTTTCTTTTTTCAACAAATGTGTGATATAATGTATAAATCTTTCAATGCCATACAAACTAATTAGTGTTCTAGGGATAAATGTGTGCTAACAATCACTTATAATTTCGGTGAATTAAGAATTGCTTGTTGACAGTTCAATTATTTGTTAAAAAGTTTTTAGATGGAAAATGTAAAAACATAACAGGCACATCAATATTTCAAATAACAACTAATTTCAAAGAAACAAAAAGGGTGCACAGTTTCAATTCATTAAAGAAAAAAGGAAATAAACTGCGTTTTGCTAATGCTCTAGACATGGATATTCATGCATTTCATCAGATAAATTAATTCTATGATACTTTGAGGTATTAACTGAAGTATCTTAGCAACAATTTACAATTTTTATGTTTCGAAAATAATATAGTATGCAATACAAAAAATGGACAATTTTCTTTTTTGATCAATTTAAAGAATGAAATTTAACAATTTTGGGAGTTAAGAATTCCGAAAATTTTTTTAAAAATTTTTAAATTGAATATATATTTTAGAAAATGAAAATAATTAAAATTTAATGAGTCAGAAATAAAACTTGAATTTTTTATTTTCAGGAAGAAAAAACAGATGAGAAGACGAACTTCGTTGTTCCTCTCTTTCACGTGCAAGTTGCAGTCTACGATAACTGGCACGAAGACGTTCGGCAGTAGAAGTTGTCAACGAAGTCGGATGAGCAGTACATGCATTCGTTTGGAATGCTCGAATAACACGCATCTGCAAGACTGTGTTATTTTTGCAAGTGCATTAAATAAACCAAACATGCTATTACAACAAATAATACTAAATGATAACAAACTATACCATATCATATTGATTGATATCATACACGAACATGATGGAAAAGCACTGCTTCTATATGAACAAATTTTAAATTATATGTGTCGTGCAATGATTTATCTCATTATTAAGCACAATGAATGATGACATATTTTGCTAAATGGACAAGTCCAATCTTTTCCTCTCTACAACTCTTCCTATCTTGATATGAAATCATTCCATTTATGATTTTTAATACTGTCAATTATTGTAGCATAAAAATTAGTATAAAATTGCTTGCCATAAATCAATTATTTTTTTAACGAAAGAGAAATATTTTTTGCAAATTTTTGTAATTTGGAAATTTAAAGAAATTCAAATATCTAAGATCTAGCTTAGTTCTAATGATAAATCATATAGTAACAATCTAAAGAACTGAAAATGTAGGAATTAAAGATTAAATGCTGAAAATAAAGGTTAATTCATAATCAAGTCAAACAAATTCAAATAATAACAAGACGAACAGAAAAAATAATTTATAATAGTTCACTGCAAACATCATCACAAATCGCATTCCTGATTATATTAGTTCGATTGACCGAAAAGTGACCGGAAAAAAGAGGAAAGAAAAAAAATAACGATCAAAAAAAAGGCCATACATGCGTGAAAAAAATAACGATAAAATGGACCTGTGTTTGCAATCGTGTCAATCCAAGAAGCCATAACATTTGACCAGGCCTTTTTTGATCTTCCTTTGACATGCCTTTTACAAGGCCATCACTTGTGTCATATTCACCGGTAACTAAGACAGAGGTTGGTTGAACTTCACCACCACCAAATGAAAAGAATTTTGGGAGCACTTTACTTGGTATTGTTGCTAGGATCTATAAATTATAGTCAACTATTACAATTAAAAAATTCAGAGCTATTTATTTAAGTCAAACAAAATCCAGAAAAATATGGCATCATGTTTAACTTTTTTATATAAAATCTAGTTATTTATGTAAATTATTCATCTAAAAAAGAGAGAAAGAAAAAAAAAGAACCTGGCCCCATAAAAGAGTACCAAAGGCACAGGCTACACAAACTGCCCAATGAATTTCGTTCAAAGGAGCTGTTGATACCCATGCACCACCGAACTGTACAATTAACACCTGGGAAATCAATGTCAAAATCCAAATAATACAAAATAACGGATTCGTAAAAAGGCCCTGGAATATAGAAAATTTGAAATTTTTGAAAATGTAAAATGTACATGGAATAATTCTAGTGAATAAGTTGCATAATAACTTTTAAGGATATGAAATGATCTCTGAAAATGGAACAAGAAAATGATGAAGTAGTGAAATAAAATTTAAGTTCAAAATTTCTTATAGAATTTATATCATATACAAATGAACAGTGCATAATAATTAATGCAAACCTTGAAAACATTTCGCTCTCCATGAACCTTCCGTGAATTAATTTCATTCATTAGAGTCATTAACACAAAAGCATTAAAAATTATGGTGAAGTGTTTCGAAGGTGGTGAATTAAGCGGTGCCCAACGTCCGTTTTCCAAATCTGGGATAAATTTATCGCCTGGAAAGAAAAAAGTTGAAATTTGTCTGATATATCAAGAAAAGCTGTCACCCAATTAAAACAATAATCTAACTTCATGACACTTTAAAGAAATTTTAACAGATATTTAAACTTAAAGAAAAAATTACTGTTTTAATTAATCAATGAACATTATTTATCAAATTTAAACTAAATCATTGTCATTTTAAAAGTTTCAATTACTTACCCCAGAAAAGAATGGCAAACAAAACGGTTAGTTGGAAAGTTGCATGACCAACGATATTCTTAACCATTGTTCGTGAAATAAGTGATTTTGTACGTCCGTAAGGCTTACGTTCCAGCAAACTTTCTGTTGGTAATTCAGTTGCTAATGCCAACGAAGCTAATGTATCCATAATCAAATTTACCCATAACATTTGCACAGCCTAAAAAATCACATACATCAAACATTGGTATTCATTTATGTATCAAAAATGGTGAAAATTTATAAATTTGAAAGTAATTCTTATTCATTTTAATTAATAATTTACTTTCAGAGGAGAATCGTTTATTGCACAGGCACCAATAAATGCAATCGTAACAGCAACAACATTCACTGTTAGTTGAAACTGTAAAAATTTTGAGATCGAATCATACACATTACGGCCCCACATGACCGCTTTTACAATGGAAGTAAAATTATCATCAGTTAAGATGATATCTGATGCTTCCTTTGCAACATCAGTTCCAGCAATACCCTGAAATTTTATTCTTTTTCCTCCTATTAAAAATATTTTTTACAAGCATTAATCTTTGACTAATTTTTACAATTATTTTTTACAAGTATAATATTTGCTCACTTACTTCACAATTATTTACCACGATTGTTTATTGTCTTATCAACGATACTTATCGCTTATCACTATCTCGTATTCAAAGTGCCAATAAATGTAGTTGATTTCTTCGAAAAGCTTTTCCACCTACCATTGCAAATCCAACATCAGCTTTCTTCAAAGCAGGAGCATCATTTGTCCCATCACCTGTGACTGCTACCACTTCCCTGTAATTAATCCATTTTTAGATAAATGACTTTTGATTGCAATAAGCACTTTTAATATTATTGAAAAATAGCAAAATCTAAATTAAATTCTTCGTTGATAAATAATCAGACTATTCCTATAACTGCAAGGGCTAAAAAAAATTTTGATTTTTCATAATTAAGATGAAAAACAAAAAATTGCTTACAATTATTTTAGGAAATATTGTAAAGCATGAAAAAAAAAAGATTAATAAACATTTTAATAATATGTAAATTGAAATCTATGAATTGATGAGCTAACTAACCTGTTCTTTGAAAATTTACTGTTAATGATTCCTTTCACGAGAACATATTTATCGGATGGTTGTGCACGCGCAAGTACTCGTAATCTTGGCCATACTGCATCAAATTTTGCCTGATTCACTTTACCATTTGCATCACGAATTCTAAATACTGTTATTATTGAATTTCAAATAACTAGTAAAATTCCAACTTTTTCTGCAATCCAGCTGCTAAATTTATAACAGTTATTTCTAAAGATAGATTTCATTAATAGGAGTATTTTCAACTCGCATATTGAAAGATTAGAATTTCTGTGTTATCCTTCGGGATGAATTTGATCAGTAGTTAATCAACTTCAATATTATTTGTATGACAACTTAAACAGATTTTTAATGCATCAGCACCAGCAATTTTTTGAACATTCAGAATTTCCTTTCTGTTATGAACAAAAGATTTTACCCCAAATTAAGTGAATTTTAGTTTCAGCTTAAAATTTTCACTCATAAAATAATTAACATCACCTTTCATTGAATTCCCTGCCTTCGAGAGCTAAGAAACCACTTCCAGGCTTCAAAATACCACAGCTGGTAGCAATCGATCGTGCTGTATTGATGTTGTCACCAGTGACCATACGAACCGTAATACCAGCTTTTTGACATCGCTCAATTGCAGCTGGAACTTCCGGTCTTACCGGATCTTTTATGCCAATGATAGCTATCACAGTCATTTCCATTCGTACTGCTTCTTCGTCTTCCCAATCAATTTCACCTTCATATACTGTCTATAATTTCAATCCAATGAATATTTTGACCAACAAAGCGGCAAAATATTCGCCGGATATAGCACAGTTGTATTCCGAAGTAGTGCTAAATATAAACTTGCTAGAAAATTTTGTTAAGTTTATAGAGAGATGGAAATTACATCATTTTCGGCAGCCGGTTTACCGATTAATACATAATCCTTATAGGCAAGTCCAATTGTTCGTAAGCCATCTGAAGCCATTGGTTCGATAACATCTCTTGTCATTTCCTGTTGTTGCTCGCTATCAAACGGTTTCACCTTTCCCTCTGGACCAAACACATAGGAACATCTTGAAAAATAGATTTTAATTTAGTAATTTTAGTTCAACAAACTAAATATGCAATAACTTTAACTTCATGCTAACAGCACTAATTATCATTCTTAATAAATATGCATTTTGCATAACTTAAGACAAACTGATGAATAAAAATTAACCTGGACATGATAATTTCAGAAGCTCCTTTTGCATAGACTCGATAACCATTGGGAAGTCTTTTGACAGTCATCATTGATTTCCTTACAGAATTGAATGTATACACCTGAAAATATAGCATAATTAGAAGTATCTTTAGGATATTATTGATTAACTTCATTAAACTGTTTTTATATAAATCATTTCTTAGATTAAGATTAACATGTTCGTTGCAATATGTTACTATATCTTTGGCAATGAATCCTTGAATTACAATTACTAAAAAGGAAAAAAACTGAAGCGTGAATTCGTTTCACTTAAAGTTTGATAAGTTTCAAGTAAAAAACACATACCTTAAAGAGCGATTCCTCGGGATGCTCTTTCCGTATATTCTCATAACTTTGACCCAAATCAAGCACAAATCCAAGAAGTGCGCATTCCGTCTTATTTCCGAGCTACAACCATTTTGAAATCATTTAGTTTTTTCTTAGTACAGTAATAATTGCAATAATAATAATAAAACAATAATAATAACAACAATAATGTTAAATAATAATAATAATAATAAGAAGAAGAAGAGATAATTGACAAAATAAAACTATCGGATAAGAGAATTAGTGAATATTGAAAATTTAAATTAACCTGTGTCCTTTGTATCCCATGTTTTTCAGGTAATATCACTTGTGAATTATAACCACTGTTCACAGAAATTCCCTCAACCAATAGTTGACGTGTTTTTTTATCTAATTGTTCAAATTTTGGTACATACTCTTTGTAAAACTTTCCTGAAATTGCAAAAATTTTACAAAATCTATTGATTAATTAAATGAGAATGAAAAATAAGACAAAAATTTGCAGTAGATAAAATTTTTTGTTTATAATGAGGGAAATAAATATTAAATGAGAGTAATTACAAAACAAAGGGAAGAAATTACTGTAGAAATGAATTTTATTTTAATAAGCATTACTTTCATGCTCAGTCAGTTATTTCAAATGCATAATAAATTTATTTAGGAAAAATTTAATTGAAACCTTAATGGCAAATAACATATATATGTGAACCACTTAAAAAAAAAAAAAAAACTGATTTTTTACGCAAACAGATGTTTCATAAACTGTAGTACCAAATAGATAATCTAAATAATTAATTGGCATATTTATTAAACAAATCAGGAAACTTAAATACCATTAATAAAAGATTGTACGGCAGTCATCCGATTTGTTGTTAAGGTACCTGTTTTATCAGAACAAATTGCAGTTGCATTACCCATCGTTTCACATGCATCCAAATGTCGCACCAAATTGTTATCTTTCATCATCTGATTTAAATAAAATACGAATTTTTCATTATATTACAATTATAGATATTTATATTGAAAATTTGCATTCTAATTTAGAGAGAAATTTTTATGAAATTCATAAATAATAAGTTAACTATCTGATAAAGTTTCGTATAAATAATTGGATAAACTGATATTACTGAATTAATTTAGGAAATTAATGCTTGCTCATATTCTGTATTTAACATTAAATGATTAAACTAAAAGCCCATGTCTATAAGAATCTGAAAAAAAAAAAGTTTTTATAAAATTTTTATTACCTTTTTAACAGAATATGTTAGCGATAATGTTATAGCAAGAGGAAGACCTTCCGGAACAGCAATTACAAGTACAGTTACACCAACTATGATAAAATTAACAAAATAAGAAAAGTCAGAAGGCTGAAATGATTCATGATTTATTCCATAATGAGTTATGCAATGCCGTACAATCAATATTACAACAGTCGCTCCGGCTACAACAAAACCTGAAAGTAATAACTCTTTGTTTTTATTGTTACTTTTTCCATTCCTCTTTTTTTTTTTTTTTTTCAGAAATAATTAATAGTTGATATTCTGAGATTATAGACATTTTTTTTTTTTATAGTTATCATTAGAAAGAAAATGAAACAAACAAACAAACCCATATAACCAATTTGAATAGCTAATGCTGATAATTTTCCTTGTAATACTGATTTTGGTAGTTTACAATCATATTCAGCAGAATCAACAGAATGCTTTCGTTCAATCTCTGATGTTGTACCTATCAAAGTATGATTTAAAAGAAGAAAGAAAAAAAAATTAGAAAATTAAAAACACATTGGGCCTCAACATGTGAAGATTATTATTTGATAAACAATTCCTCATTATAAAATTGGAATTTGCAAAATTTTTACTTTCATTTAAGATACGATGGAGGATAAAAAAAGTTCCTCAATTAAATTAGCAACAATGAAAAAATCTTTAGATGAATTATTGTTTTATAACAATTTTAATGGTGCAAAAAAGTAATGTATTAGAATTAAAATACCAAGTGTTATTAGAAAAAAAAAAAAAGAAAAAAAAGGAAAACTGTTAAAAATGATGCAAAATGTTCAATATATAGTTTGGTAAAAATTCATATTTAAAAATTGATTGCCTAAAATTGTTTTGATAAGAAAAATACCATTAATTTGTTCTTCAGGTGCTACAGTATTCGGACTTTTCTTGCTTGTGGTACCTTTCGTTGCACCAAGCAATGTCATTATGATACCAGTTTGAGAATTCACCCCAACAGCTGTTATGACCATTTTTCCACTTCCTTCCATTGCATGGGTACCTAAACACCTGGCTTGTTTTCCAAAAAAATTGTTTCATGGAGAAAGAAAAAATAAGAAATAAAAATTTCAGTAAAAATGAATCCAAAATTTATCTCAAGTTTATATTAATTACATTTCCAGAGTGTCAAAAAGACCAATAAATAAATGGTAAAATTTTAGAAGCCAATTAAAGTTACCTGATAAAAGTACTGGATCACCTTCCGGGCTTTTTTTGATTAAATTTGATTCACCGGTTAATGATGATTCGTCCACTTTTAGATCATTACTTTGTATTAAAAGTCCATCAGCTGGCAGTAAATCACCTGAAATAAAATAGAAATAATAAAAATCATTTTTGAAATCTTTCAGTAATTTGATTTACAAACAAAGAATATTATTACCATATTTAACCCGTGCAATATCACCGACAACCAGTTCAGTGACGACAGTATCAAGAGCTTCACCATTTCGTATTACAGAGAATTTATGTTCTGTTTCTATTTTTGCTTGTAATCCTGAAATGCAATCATTTCCTTTCTTTCCTAGACCATATTTTCTATTTTAATTAGCTAATTATTCATATTATCAATAATTGTTTCTTGCTGTTATTATTATTTTTTTTAATAACGAAATAAAAAAAATATTATTTTTTAGTAATGAAAAAAAAAAAAAAAAACGACCTCGAAATTGCTTTTCCTTGCTCCAATCATTTAAAGCTGTAACCAAAACAACAACAATGACAGCAAGTAATATGGCTGCTCCTTCAATCCAGCCGGCTTCTCTTTCATTAGCATCATGTCCACCTGAAAATAATGAATTCAAGGTATTTTAGCAGCTAATTTAAAAAAAAGACGCTATCAGGTTTAGTCTAAACAATCCATTTAAGTTGTTGTTTATTGTAAATATTTTCAGATAAACCGATAGTTATAACAACAATTCATTTGTGCATCATTTAATCTTATAATAAATGATAAGTGAAATACCTGTTTCAGAATTTTCTGGTGGTTTATAAAAAGATAAACCTAAAGATACAAGTGCTGAGACCAACAATATAATAAGCGTTATATCCTAAAATATGCATATAATTTAAAAATTTGCGGTTTTTTTTAAATTTTACTTTTCAAAAAAATCTAAAGCGAATCCTAGTACTTCGATATAAATTAAAATTTTAATTGAATATTAAATAGTTAAATAAAAGAACCTGCAAAGCTTCCCATGCTAATCGTAAAAAAGATTTTGAAGGTGCTGGAGGAATTTCATTCCTTCCAAATATCCTTCGCCTTTCTTCTAATGATGCTTTTTCGTTTGGTAATCCATTTACTGGATCAGTTTTTAATTTAGCGCATAAACCTTCAATACCGCCAAATTTCTTGTTCACCTGCCATAAAAATCTTTTTTGTTTTGAACAACAAAAATGACTTATACAATGATGAGCAAAATTTTTTGCTAAAATTCTATAAAATACTATGATGGAATCAAATTGGCTAATCATCTACTAATTAAGATAAGTTTAGTATAAGTGGAAAAAAATGATGAGGATTAAGAATTATTACATTAAATACGCTTATCTAAAAGAAAAGAAATTAATTCTAATAAAGATAAGAAATTAATTCTAATAAAGATAATGATTCATAATCGTAAATTACATTATTGACATTTAAAATAAAAATAATTTTAACATGTCATACTTGTTAGAATGTCCGTATAAAAGATCTTGAAGAAAAAAGCCTAATTTCTGAAACACATACTTGTGCAAGTGCTTCGGCACCTCGAAGATCCATTAATGCGCGAAGTTCGGATAATGTACATCCGAACTCTCGTGCCGTCATACCTGCTTACAGGTGCTTTTCACAAATTATCTTATTCGTTAAATTATGAATTACACTACCACTCATCCATGTAGAAATAATTTCGATAGGAAAACGAAAACTTTTTTCTCTCTTGGATTATTCAAATCTTTCGAATTGAATCTAAAATTTCATAAATTTATAAAATAAACAAACAATATAAAAATAATTTCGCTAACATAGGTTAACTGAAGAAGAACATAAAAAAAAAAAATGAAATTTCATTTTTTAAATGATAGTTTTAGTTTAATATATATATATATAATGCTGTTAATATTTGCAGAGACCCCTGTTACGATGTGATACATTTGTCATTAGCTTAATGCTGATTCATCTTTTAGGCATTTTCATTTCTTAGGCGCCGTACTTCAACAGGAACAACAAAAATCATTCTCTTATTTTCTCTTATTCTTCAGTAATAAATTTCAATATTATTTCAACAGAATAAAAAAAACAAGAAAAAAAGAAAGAAGCAGAAAGAAATACATTAATTTTGCACATTTGTGAAAATTTCAACTTTTTTTTCTCTTTTAATGAAATCATCAAATATATTCGTTTCGACTATTAAATTATAGGAATTTGAATAAAATTAGGAGAAAATTTTTGTAAACGAATTTTTCTTATTCTTTCTTTCTTATTTTATAATTTTGTAAACGGAAATAAAAAATATATAAGTAGTTGTATTTTATTTTTCTCTCAAAGATAGATGATACAAATAATACAAACATATATAAATATATTTAGAAATACATAGATTGGTGACATTTAGGGAAAGAATGACAGGAAACGGTTAATGCAGGGAAAGTGATAGGAGAAGGGCGGCGGGTAAAAGGGGCAAAATGATTGGTAATAGTTCCATTCCATAAAAATGCTTAAATGATGATGGCGGGACGATAACATACACAAAATTATCGAGATTTTGTGAAAATCAATGATTTCATGATGACTTCACAACGAAATACTCCAACACATCTGAATTTAATACTTTCCCATTCCTCTTTCCTACCTTTTTTTCCTCCTCTTCATCCTTCTCCTCCTCCTCCTTTATTTCCTAAACTTTCGTCAAAAAAATTTTCCTCTTCTTTCTTCAATGTTTTACAATCATTTCATCTACTTTACTATCATCCTTTAGTTTATTACAATTTCAAAATGTTTTCTAGATGATTGCAGAGAAGTGAAAAAAAAAAAGAATCCCTCCGAATATTTCATCTTTTTTTTTTCCTTTATAATCCTTAAGTAATGCAAATTAAATGTCATTGAACTATTCATGCGAAATTTTATTACAAAATTTAATTTATGGCTTTTTTTGCTTTTATTTTTGCTGGAACAATGCGCGAATATTTAATGAAAAACCATTTGAAAAATATGTTAAATATGAATGCGATTTAATTTGAATATCACTATGATAATGTTTTTTATATTTTTACTTTTTCATTTTATGAAAGCCAAATGATGGTTGTAACATTTTTACTGAATGATAAAAGCATTATCAAAATGATGCAAATAAATCGAGTAAATTAAATCAAATTGGTTAAATTGAATTTTCAGTGGAGAAAAATTATTGTTAATTTACATTTAACATAAAGCTAGCAAGCATTGTTAAGGAAATGATCATTGAAGCAAATATTCTAATAAATCTGGCATTCTAATGACTGATAAACTTTAAATATGATAAGTAATATAAATGATAAATATAATGTAAGTAATACAAAGTAAATCTAATTAGAAGAGTGGAATTCACACTAATTGTTTCCAATATATTGTCATACAGCTATTCCGAAGAATTTATCTTAAGTATATTTCAAAATAGTGTAATACAATAATTCTATAATCGTTACTTCTTTAAATTCTACCATATAAAAATTTATACGATTACTCTAATAAAAATGAAGCGGAAAAGAAAGAAAAATAGAAAAGTCATGACAAATGCACTTTAGAAAATTTTACATCATTTCAACCAATATTTACTTTTTTCTATTGTTAACTATTAAAAAATAAAAATTTCTTCCTAGCGAACTTAACATTGATTAAACATTGATCAAGATAAAAATGACAAGTAATAAGAAGTTGTGCTTTTCAGTTGTTATGAAAATTTTGATTACTATTTGAAATATAAATAAAGTTCATGTATTATCAGCTATAAGTAATATCATTTGCAGTGAAATTGTTAGAATGAGTGATACGATAGGCTATATTAAAATGTCATTAATAAATAATGTAAAAAAAAAAATTTTTTTTTCTTCCCACCTATTTTATCATAATTCAAAATTAAAATTTACATGTGATCAGTGATTTGTTTTGTCTTTTTTTTTAGGCACTTGTTTTATTCCTTTAAAAAAAAATTCTGTCTTTTTCTTCTGTCAATCAAAGATGACAAATAATAATATGTAAACTATTCAAATTTCTGGTACAATTGAAATCACCATTAATCATAACAGTAAACAAAAATAAAAAGCGAAAATCTTTTAAAAATTTAATGGAAACACACCTCGTATTTTCGAATAAATAAAATGTTCAAAAATGTAATGTAAAATCAAAATAGAAGAATTTGACAACAATTTTTATAACAGAAGTCTAACTAGCAATGCATTTAAGACTGAACAATTGCTGGTAATTTTTAAAAAAAAAAGTTAAAAAAATAGCATAAGGAAAAAAATGAAAGAATCTAACTAAATTGAACGATAAAAATATGAAATTTAAAAATTGAACTATGTTTCGAAATGACATTTTTCAGCAAAAATCTTTTCCTTTCAATTACAAGTGAATGGTTAAGCAAATCGAACATTGAATAAAATTTTTTCTTTTCCCTTTTACTCTTTTTTATTCTTCAAATTGTTGAATTTTGTGTTACTTTAAAACTAAGTATTAAGAAAATCATTTGAGATGTCTTTCTTTCGTTTTTACTTTTTATTTAAAAGTATTATTATTTTTTTTTTTTTAAATCGACATTTGTTTAAGTGATTATTTCATGGTGTTTTTAATTTTGTATTTATTATCAGGATGGAAGAGATGTTATCAATAAAATACGCAGCTGATGTGATAACAGTGTTGGAAATAAATAATGTCACCAACAATATTTAAGATGATTAAAAATCCATGCAATTTTAGAAGCAGTGATGGTGATGAATAAGTAATAACTAGTAGGTTTTTTTTTTTCTTTAAGCCAAAAGAACAAAATGTATTGTAAATACAAATTAAAAATGAAAAAAAAAATTTTTTTTTGCTGATTTGATAAAACAGAATGAGAATGAAATGTGACATTTTGAAGATGACATAATTTTTAAATCAGCCAGTGAATGCATTTTTTTTTTTTTAAATGATAGCATAAGTTTTTTTTTCTCTCAGATTTTTTCTTATGTCATCTGTTATTTACACTTGATACATTTAATAAATTTTATAATCATACTACGAAAATGAATGTCAATATATTCTAGACATCTCTTGATAAAAAGTTGTTAATTTATCAATTTGATATGTATCATTTGTTAACGTGATCGTAGTTATCTGATACTGATGAAACAACAACCAAAAGTTTAAATTATTAAATAAAATTGAAATGAAATTAAAATAAAAAGAAAAACAATTATTAGTAAATGTAGATGCTAAAAAATTTTATTTATTGAAATTTTTTCATTTGGAAAAAAAAAAGCAAAAGAAAAAAGAACATGATAAAACAATATAAAGACATGAAATTATCAGAAATTAAATCATTATTTGAATGAAGAAAAAAAATGAAATTAATTTGTCCATGAACAATTTCTCAGAAAACTACTATGCGGGAGGGGCGAGAGTAGGGGAGGGGGTAAGAAGAGAAGAAAATGTAGGTGCCGTATGAATTCGGTCGATATTAATTAAAACTTGTTGATAATAGCAGAGTTTCTAATCAAAACACATTCTTACTGCCGCACAAGTGACACATGTTTTGTGCCGCTATTATGACACAGCAAGATTAACATTTGAATATATTTTTAAACATCTTTGTAGTAAAGAATTGATGCGACCAATTTTGTTGATTTATTCTTAATAGAAAATTTAGCATATTTTTAAAAATAATTAAAATGAAGAAAAAAAAAATTTAATTGATCAATTAAATTAGATAATATTTTCTTCCAATAAATTAACATTAGCATATTTAATTTAATATTACATTTTTTTTTTTTTCAAATTTTATCTTAATATTTTTTGCGCTACTTCTAACGTTTACAAATAATAGTATTTGAACTACTTAAGACAATTTTTTTTTTTCTTGATTTACTGATAGATTATTTCATTTTTGCTACTTTTATTTATTAAGCTGTGAAATATAACATTATTTCTCTTCAAAGTATTAATTATTTCTTTGAATCAATTGTGAAAATATTTTCAACTCCAATGATTGAAAGTTACTAGTTGTTGCATAATGAGGTGGTAATTTGGCTTTCTCATTCAGTGTTATATCATAAAATTAATAAATTAACTAAATAATACTACATTCAAGTGATTTAATAATTGTTGCATTATTAGTGAGTGAAGATCATAAATATATGAACTAAATAAAAGAAAATTACATATTGGCAGTATTTCTTCGTAGGATTCAATTATAAAACGATCTTTAGCAAAAGTTCTATATTTACAAAGAAAATTAATTATTAGAATAGAATAAAGGAAACAAAAGATATAATTAGAAACAAAATATTTCAACTTAATGATCAATCATTATCATACCACTGCATTATAAACATTTTGAAAAATCCAGTAGTAATAGGAAAATCAAGAAAACATTAGAACTTATAAATTAGCGAAATAGATCAAACGAGTTTGCAAAGAATTTTGCTTTTCTTTCTTTTTTTTTTTTTCTTTTTGCACCTAATGGAATATATAACGAAATTATTTATTAATTATAGCTATTGATAATTAAATTTTGCTTAGCCAATAAGATAGTTAATAAAATAAAATGCTATTTTGTTCAAAAGAAAAAAAAAATCAAAATGCAATCTAAATAT